ATGTTTTGTAGTACAACTATAAACATTGTGATACCTTATCAGAACTCGCCGGTGTAAACAAGGGAGGTTGAGTTTCTGTTAGGTACAGAAAGTGCTCTTATGTAGCTCGGCTCATTCTCCACCTGTTTCAAAGTGGCTCAGCTGTTCCAGTTCGGTTTCTAGAAGGCAGCATGTAGGATGGCTTCAATCAGACAAACAGACCGACAAATAGACAACTAGACGGATATAAGTGGTTACACATGGCAATTATTTTCATCAACGCCCGATTTTCACGTATTTTGACAGCTTCGCAGTTTCTAACACATTTGTTAGCACATTTGAAAACAGAACTCGAATCGGTGGTGTATCATAATATTTCATGGCTGTCCAGGTTGCTGTTAGGAAAACGTTGCTAGTAAGCATAGTTTCATAAACACCCGATTTCCTTATTGTGGCAGCTTTGCAGGCCCATCATTAGCACATTTGGAAATTGAAGTCGAATCGGTCGTGTCAATCTAATATCTCACCGTTGTTGTCGTGACTTTGCCCGACTCTGGTCAAGATTATTTGCATCGGCGGTGGAGCCACGCGCAGTTCCGTGACGGGATTCCGGGCGCACACCGCTCCTGAGGATAACTCGAGGGCGCCTACGAATGTTTGAAGCAGTATTACCTCAGTCCTGACGCGGAAACAGATTAGAGCCTTTCAACCCTCTAGACTAAGATGATGTTTGACTGCATGGACAGATGGCGACGTGGATCCGAGAAGCGAAACTATACGGCTTACATTCGTAGCTGGAGCGGAGACAAAGGTTAGTGGCGGACACGAGAAGAGTGACAGAGCAAAGTATGAGCGATATAGGCGATGTGCAAATGACTGAGAAATAACCACGTAAAATCACAAGCACTTCATATAATTGGATACAACTAAATACAGGAAATAAGTGATACGATATATGTGGAAAAGATTACAATGGGTAAAGTGGATAGTTTACACATGATGGGAAGGGATATTATCTTGCTATACGATTACAAACTACAAGGACAAATTTGGATAATTCAGATTTAATGCACAAAGTATTATCTGACTAGTCAAGCTACTGTGTATGAAACGAATACTAAAATAAGAATGCTTATGCACAGTCGAATGGGATCTGTGGCATATTAATACTGATAATAGTAATACTAATACAATACTACGACGCGAAATCTGATATAAACAATAGAATTAAATACCTTGAATTGGGGTTCTGAAGTAGATGATGGAAACAATGCTGAGCTGCATGCGATGTGCGGTAAAGGGCATGCGAGTGCGCTAGTGCGATGATAGCGCGACGGAATAGGCGAGGGCCAGGTCAGTCTGGTTGATCGATGGCGAAAGAACTGACAATCATTTGGTGCCAAAGCCTGCGCAGAAGCCTTCTAGAAGATTTCACACTAGATGCGCACTTGTATTGCTCCTTTGGATTTTTTTGTAGGGGGATACGTTTACATTTTTGTATGAAGCCTCACTTGAAGTTTGCTTCGGTAATCGAGGTCGGTTCCTTTCTCATGTGAATATTGTGTCGGATTTGTTTTTTCGATTCTGTTGGCTTCTGAGATCTTTCAGGCGCGCTCTTTTTTGAAGGCACACGTGAGGCAAAAGGACTGGGTCACCTAAGAGATTGGACCCATTTACATCTTGAAGTATCACAAGTATCACAACAAAAGGGAAGCATTTGCAGTCGTGTAAGCGCTTACTACCTCCACACTGGTTGTCTTTCCGCTTTGCTTGCATCCACTGCAGCAGTACATCGACTGTCCCTGTGTTGTCTGACGAAGGAACGCGAAAACGTAGCATGGGGACCTACCTAGCAGCAAATGTTAATATCAATTGTGCAAGATCAATAAACTGTACATCGTAGTGCTTTCTTCACTCACCAGGAACCGGGGACCGTAGTACCGGATGAACGCTCCGCCTACTGGTCTCAATAACGCCTTAGAACAGCTTTCCCGCAAGTTGCACTCGTCGATGGGAACGCTGCCCAGATGCTCCACTTTGACCTGAAGGCGATAGCAGCGACTCAGGGATGAAGGGACCCAAGAACTGAAACATCTTCATCGACGTAGCAGGAGCAGAAAACGATGGGTGCGCAACATCCACGGCCGGAACTAGATGAAGGGCATAGGTTTAATGCTAGTTCTGCAACAAATCTTGTATACTGCGGCTCACCCGAATCATTAACTCCTTGCTCGTAGTATTGCTTGTTAAGCGCAAACGTTGACATTCTTCGAACGCTAGTAATAAGTGATGCTATATTTATCAAACAAAACTACCCTTAAATAAAACCTCATCGTGTTCTAAGTCATTACACATGCGCTTCATTGCAACAACAATAGACGAATACATCAACATCGTCATTAATTACATAAGAGAACTCCTCAGTGACGAAGGAGTAAATATATCATTGGTGAACAAGAATGAAATACCCCAACAAGACAATTTCAACAGGCTTGAAACCTTCATTCAATCAAATTGAGAGTTACCGTAAAAACCCCGAGGGCGTAAATAATATTGAACTTCAACAATTAATGTAAACAATGAGCATTGCAACATGTAACAACAAGAAAACAAATATTTAGGCGCGGTCAATCAAAGGCTTCACAATGAATAACACTAGAAGAAAAGAACATGCAACTAACATAAGATATTAAAAAATCCCACGACGATGACAGAGTTTTTTCGGCAACAAAGAAAGAATTTCGGTTAGTGTCGATATCCACAGAGCAGCGTTCAACCAATATCATTAGTGACGACCTCTCCTGGGACTTCAAATTGAACCAAAGTAATTCAAAAACAGAAATCAACGAAAAGTTACAGAATGTACAAAGTAAGTGGTACAGTAGTAAAAGTATAATGATTTAAGCAACATAATGTAAAAGGAAATTTAGGTGGAAAGCATATTTACGCTAATCAGCGCAGTGATATCCATGAACAGGAAATGCCACACGCTGAAACTGAATCCACATACATGAGTGGAACCTAGAATAATAACATTATAAAAAGAAATAAAGAGCCGAAAGAACTACGATGAAATGGAACCTAGGAACAGAATAGATTTAAAAATAGAGAACCGACAAAAAAATCACATTAGAAAGGAACCTATCCCGATTAAAGGAGCAAACTTCAAGCGAGTCTTCATACAAAAAAGCAAGCGTATTCCTCTACAAAAAAAACTGAAATAGCAATACAGAACAACGTATGGAACAACCACATCTAAAGCAAAATACAAAACAGACTGAACGATGGTAAGATTGAAA